ATATAATAAAAACATTAATTAGTATTTTGTATAATTTTTTTTTTAAAATTTAAAAAAAAAAAAAAAAAGGAAATCTTAAATATGCGTATTTATTTATTTCGATACTAATTTATTCCATTAAGTCATTTCATTTTGTTTGATTCTTTATTTATTTTTATTTTTTTTCTAATTACTATCCCCCATAAAAAATAAAAGATCGTCATCATCATCATTTAAATTATTATGCTGATTTTTATTTTGATTAGAAGAATTACAATCTTTTAAATTTTCATTCATTTTACTATTTTGATTATCAAAAGAAGAAATGTAATTCCCACTCTTCTTTATACTCTCACCTGTAACAACATGTTCCAGTCTAGCAGCTTCATGTTCTAATGGACTCTTTGTTTTAGGACTTGTTGAAGAATACATATTTCTTGCAATTGCAACTGAGGACCCAGAATTTTTAGAATAACTCTTTGGTTTTTCAAAATTTGCATAAACAGTGGAAGTCTCAGTTGTTGGTTCTGCATAAGCATCAATACTAGGTCTTCTTGAAGCAGTCTGTGAAGAAAATGATATAGCCTGATTGGAAACTGAAGAGACACTTGTTTTATTACTATTAATTGAATTTGAAAACTTGGGTATTGAATAAGCAAATGATGAGGAAGATGAAGATGTTCTTTTTCTTCTATGGTGAATATCTCTAGGACCTGTAACAGAATTTAATGATCCAACTATTCCTGTATCATTATTGTAAGATCTTCTGAAACCAGGAATGTATTCATCATCTAGATCTTCTTCATGCTCTTGTTCATAATGAGAGTAAAGAGAGTTTCTACTGGTACTTAAAGCCATTCTTTTTGAAGAATCTATGGAAACACGTCTACTTCTATCCAATGTGGCTTTAATTTGTTCAGCATCAAAGCCTCTAGTTGGTGAAAACCCAAATTGGTTAAAATCAGACTGGATTCTTGTTTCTTCAGCATTAGTAGAATATTTTCTTTTATCATCATCATAATGATGAGGCTCAGATATACTACCTGAACTCATGTTTCTACGTTTTAGTATAAAAGCTGAGTCAGGAGAAGTTGTTATAGAAACTCCTAATGAATTGTTATCATTATTGCTATCAGCTTCAAAAGGTTCTAATTTCATCATTTTAAATCTCATTAAGGAATCAGTAATACTTTGAGCTTTGCTATTATTATTATTATTTGTAACTAAAGATGAACTTTTTATTATAGAAGCATTTTTACTACAATCATCAGATATTAAATCCAAAAATTCTTTAATATCAGGGTTATTGTCAGATAACTCAGATTGTTTTCTTGATAAATTAGTGGAAATATCCCCTTTTGAAGACTTTCTTTCTCCTTTAAAACTAGGTTTTCTCTTGAATTGTTCATATACTAATGGTGTTCTATGATCTGTTAGTGAAGACAGTGAGTGATTGTCAGTATTGGATGGAGATATGATAGAATCATTGGACAGTTGGTTTTGTAAATGAGTTGTTGGATTTGGTAAACCATTGTTTGAACCATTACTAGATCTTTGTGCCCTTAACGTAGCAATAACAGAAGAATTTGATGGATTTCTGGTTAAACTATTTGAAGCAATAGATCCAACTGATCCTACTTTAAAAGTTGATGGGTATTGTAAAGATGTTCTGTTAATATTGCTATTATAGCTGTTCAATGATTTTCGTCCAGCACTTCCAGCATATTGTTCAGCAGATAGCAAACTTGAAATAGATTCCGAGCTAGCTTGTTGAAATACAGGGGAATTGTATAGATTTATGTGTGCTGCACCTTGTTGTGCAGAAGTGTGAGATAAATTATCCGATTTAATTACCTTATGTGTTTGTGCAGCAGATACTTGTTGTTGTTGGTGATGATGATCAGATACAAAAAAATTAACATTTTTTCTATATGAAACATTGACTCTTAAAAGACCAAGATTTGTCTCTAATGGAATAACATTTTTTTGTTCCAAATGGGATTCATTAGATGGTATAATTGGTTTACTCAATCCAATTCTACCTTTAGATAAAATAGGTTTTGATCCATCAAGAATTCTTGTGCAAACTTTAATTGAAGGAAATTTACCTGTTTTTTCCTCATTAATCAATCTCTCAAATAATTCTTGTGCAGGTAATATTTTCAATAAAGAAACCAAATATCTTAAGAAAATTAGAAATTTTTCATTAACAAATTGTTCTAAACTGTTCTCTGCAGTTGAATTGTCATTGAAAGTATTAAAGTGTAGTGCATCTGGTGTAGAATCTGTGGCATCAAGTTCCAAAAGCCATCTTTCAAGTACTACTTCACTTTTTTTGCCACCTTTACAAACCAAAGTGGAAGAAGCAATTTGAGCATTATTATTTGAAAAAGATGTTATCAAGGGGTTATTTGAATCATTTTTTCTTATATATAAGTTTTGGTTTGGTTCTAAATTGATTAAATCTAGGTAAGTCTCAATGACTAAAGGTGGAGGTTGTTTGTTATTTGGATCCAACAGAAGATTAACATCAATATTTTGCCATAACTTTATTATTTGCTCATTTTGTAAGTAGTTTGTATAGAAGGTTTCAATATTTGTTATAATATCTTTATCAAATGACTCATCATTAATGGTAGCAAACTTTGTAGATTTGGAATTACTAATAAGCATTGTTGTTTTAACAAAAAACATTTCTATAAGTTTAGCCGTACTTAAAGCTTTACTGTTTATGAGGGATATAGAGTTTTCATTTATCATATTATCAAGTTGCTCATTATAATTGAGATTATCCATTGGTTTTATTTATGATTATGTAATAATTATATTTATAGTTTATAATAAATGAGAACTTTGTTTATTGACAGATGTATGTGTTTGTTTTTATTCTTTCTTATGTTTTT